CCCACACCTCCCGCGCCCCGCCAGGCGCCCCCAAAGCGCGCAGTGGGACAGTCAGTACTCAGAGGCCTTGCTCTGTCACTGTGCTGCTCTGTCTTTGTTAGATGGGGCCCTGGTGCAGGGTCAGAAACCCTATTAATTCTTAGTAATTCATTTGTTCACTCTACCAGCATTGATTGTGCACCTACTGTATGCATGTGAGGCACTGACGGGACATTGTGGGGTAGGATGAGTCAAATATTCCAAAAGATTGCATCCTGGCAGGGAGGTGAGCAGCAGTGGGATGCCAAGGGGGTAGGGGTTCCCTGAGGGAAAACCCTGGGAAGGAGGAAGCCACACGCAGAGCAAGCCCTCCACCTGCACCCACACTGACCTCAGATCCTCACCTCCCTCCTGAGTGAACACACAGGGGGTGAGAGTCTAAACAACCCAAAGGAAAACAGTAGCTGAGCAGGCATTTGAGCAGTGAATTGCCAGCTGCTGGGGAGATTGGGGTTCAAGTCCTGCCCTTTTAGAGGAGCTTGGTAAACTCTCTGGGTTGTCCGCTGAAACTTCAGAATGGTCACACTTAAAGAGTAAAGACTACATCTCAGGATTAAGGGCTGTCCCTAGACTCAGGGACAAAACCAAAACCAATCTATCCCAAACCTAAAACGATACCTCTGCAAAGCCAAGGGCGGGCTCCCAGTCATTTCACTTCCTGCTGGAGCACATGGACACACCCCAGAGGAAAATAACAGAACCCAGCACATCTACAGTGTATTTATCCACTACGTCCACTGTACGGCCAAAACCAAATATTATGACCAAAGATGATCCTATCACCCTATCACTCAGGAACTTACAAGGGTTTTCTGTGTCAGGACCGGGGCAAATACCAAATATATATTTCTTATATCACAATATCACACCTGTAGACAAGATGTTGGAATCAGAAGATAAAGAGTTAAAAATGAAAAGTGTAAGAATGTTAAAAAACCTACAGCAAAAGATGAATATAATGGGGTGAAGAGATAGGAAATGTCAGTAGAAATACGATTGCCATTATTTTTAAAATAAACAAATAATGGGAATATAGATAAATTTGCTCCAGGGAGGCAAATATCTGTCTTCATTTTTAATATATTTTTAATCTTTATTGTTGAAAGTATTACATATGTCCCCCTTTTCCCCCATTGACCCTTTCTAGCCCACACCTGTCTCCCCTCCCCCACCCCCACCCTTGTCTTTATTACCCTGGAATGAAAAGATACCTCAATCTTTTCCTGCCAGACAGGAGATGGATGAGTTTCTTAGATTTTCCTATGTAAGATCAGGGCCTCCCAATATTGGGGTTCCTCTGTTGTAACATGGCTCACTACCTGTGCAGGTAACATCTGGCCCCAGTCATATTACCCTGTGGGGATTGGAGGCAGGAACCTATGTGCAGGTTACTCTGCTTTGCTGTGAGTCATAAACTACCTCATCTTCTGCCAGTAACTAAAAACTGTGACATGCCAACACACTGACTTACTAGCAGAGAAAACTCAAATCTCAGGTCCTTTCACAGTTCCTGACTTAACAGAGATAAGAGAAAACTCTTACAAGAAAACAGAGGAGAAGATGCGCACTGCATACAGGGACCCAGTGATAGGAAAAATGGCTAACTTCTCATCACAAACAACATAGGCCAGAGGACAGTGCAACATCTACGTAAAGTGCTGATAGAAAGAAAAAAAAAGCTATCAGTTTATAGTTGTGTCTAGTTTTAAACGTATTTTAAATGGGAAGCCAAATGTGAATATTTTCAAATAAACAAAACCTGAG